CTGTTCCGCACTTACTTTCCCTGTAGTACTTGCTTTTGTTTGGTTTGGTTTGGCTGTGCCGTGTTGCTTGCTAGATCTTAGTTCCCCGACGAGGGATTGAACCTGGGCCTATGGCAGTGAAAGCACCGAGTCCTAACCACTGGACGGCCAGGGAATTCCCACCTCCCGTGTGCAATTAAATATGTGTAGTTTCTTTTATGTCAGTAGTAGCTCAATAACGCTGTAAAAAATAACAATGCTAAACGTTTGATGGAAAAGAGTTTCCAAGTGATTTTAGTCTGCCATTTTGCTAGAATCCAAATGGTCCTCTTTCAACAGAGAAGGTTAGATTCTGTAAGCATTTACTAGAAGTTTGAGCATATTAAAATACTAATTTAATTATGGGAGAATTTTAAAAAGAAATAATTACTGTAGAGGTTTGAAGAGGACGGTATATACAGGGTTTTGTAATGAGACCTAAGATCAAACCTTGGTTCTGTCATTTCCTTCCTGTGTGTTCTTAGATAAGTCACTTAACTTCTCTGAGTCCCAGTTTCTTAATCTATAAACCAGGAATAATATCCACAGAGCAGAGGTTTATAATGATAATAAAAATTGCATTTGCAAAGAGCCTTCTAGAGGGCCTTGCCTAACATAAAAGCCAAGAATTATTAGTTTCTTTTTAAATTTTACATAGCTAGACCCCCTGACAGAGTCACTCTTTAGCATATGTGTATTCTACACCCTTTCCTGGCTACAGCACAACACAGCCCTTAGGAAGCGTAATACGAGATAATCTCCCAAACTCCAAGAGTAGGTTCTACGAATTGTTCAATTACAAAGTTGGCCTGGGTTATTCAGCGTTCAGAGCAAAGCCATTTTTATTGTAATGAAACTTTAAAAGGCAGTTACATTAGTTACACATATACACAACTGACTTAATAACTGTTAGTCATAGAGAACATTCAAGCAATACAAATGATGATTTATCCACAGCACAGTTCACATTCATAAGAAGAAAGGTTAAAAGAGAAACGATTAAGTGCTTAAATTGTCCACTGAAGCTCATCTGTGAACTCTCTCGCTTTTGAAGGAAAATGAGATTGTTACTGGAAGCAAGCTGCCCTGGTCCTGTGAGACCCCCCTTTTCCCACCTCCACAGTCACTGGCCCATAGGCTCTGGCCCCAAGACCCAGGCACACCTACATGTGAAAGTGTGCCTGTATCATTGTGTGGTGCCGCTTCAAGTTGCCCCAGACGCCTGGCAGCCGAGGAAAAGGAGGACAGCCAGTTCCCTTCATATGCAAGATGAGAATCTGGCACGGGGGGAAGGGTTGCAATGGACAAGTTGGGTTGTCCCAACTTGTCAGGGCACAAGTCAGGGCACAGCGACCTCATGACCAAACCCATACTTTATAGTAGAACAAGGAGCATTTCCATCCTGACTTGTTACTGGCTAGGGCTGTTAGGTGACTGGCTTGGTCTTGCTAATATGACAGGTCGTAACTGTTAGGGGGCAGGTGGGCCCAGGGGGGGAGAGGTTCACAGCTCATCTGCTGGCCCAGGTACTGATGTGTCTGGAAGGGAACACACTCATTTCCCCGGGGCCTGACTCGTCTCTCGGCCAAGCCCGGCCGCAGCACTGATAGCGTCCAGGGTGGCTCGTCTGGGGAACACGGTCTCTTTATTGGCACAGGAGATCCACGCTCCCCGATGTCTGTTCCATCAGCTATCAGAATCCTACTCGTTGCAACAGGTATTCAGGAAACAACAGAAGGGTTGAATTTGATAAACCGGGAAGCAGAGAAGAATGTGGCTGTTTGTGATGCTCTATTGCTCCCTGAAACCAAAACTAAAGACAAAGCTAGTGGGGAGCAACACAGAGGCAGGGTGTTCTAGAACATCCGGAGCCACTGTCACAGTTCCCTAACCAAGTCCAGGCCGAGCCTCAGCGTGGCTGCATCTGCGTCCTCACCAATAGTTCAGGCAGCCACCGTCTGGCCCTTTTGGGTGGAAAGCCTTCTGCTTGCTCAGCCTAAGGAAAGCCAGCCGAAGGCCTAGTAGCTGTGAGATGAGGTGTGTGTGAGGAAGAGTCCCAGAGCCAAAGTCCTAGGTATTGCTCACCTTCCCAACCCAGCTTTGCCTCCGTCTCCAGAAGGAGAGGGATCAGGGCCAAAGGCCATGCTGACGCAGGGGCCGTGGGCATCCTGGCCTCCTGGCTGGGCGGGACTGGCGAGGGAGGTTCTTCTGCAAACTGGGGTAATTAGACCCTCTAGGGCTTTAATTCTCACTCCAGTTTGTCTTAAAATTCCTTGGGGAGAGAATCCCTCAGATGTGGGATCCTCTGGGTCTTCTCTGTTCCTTAGTGGCCACGTGGTGGCTTCTAAGAATCACAACCAAAGAGTGGAATGGGGAATAGAGAAAATAGAGAACTTGAGCTGTGGGTCAGACTGCAGTCAGACTCCCCTCGTGGGCTCTGGGGACAAAGCTGGAAGGGGGACGTTGGGCCTGTTTAGTCACGATGCTCCCCCTTTATGTCTGGCTTTCAGTCGCCCATGAATCCTTGCCGTCTAGAACTGAGTGGTCCTTACCCTAGATGCTGTGTAAGTGGGTGAAGTATATGAAAGGTCCCTGGGGGCAAGGCTGTCCTCCTCTGTCCTTTTTTTTTTTTTTCGGTACGCGGGCCTATCACTGTTGTGGCCTCTCCCGTCGTGGAGCACAGGCTCCGGACGCGCAGGCTCAGTGGCCGTGGCTCATGGGCCCAGCCGCTCTGTGGCATGTGGGATATTCCCGGACCGGGGCACGAACCCACGTCCCCTGCCTCGGCAGGCGGACTCTCAACCTCTGCGCCACCAGGGAAGCCCCCTCCTCTGTCCTTTTGCATCCCCTCAGCACCCAGCACAGCCCAGGTGGGCTGGGCCTAGTCAGCGTGCTGACCAGTGTGTGCCCCTCAGAAAATCCCCAAGTGCCCTCTGAAACCAGAAGGAAAGACAAACATACCCCCATCCCCTGCCAAACTTCCAAACCCAGAGACTAAATGCCACAAGAAGTCCATTTTCATTTCATTGAGAAACGATTCTTTGATCCAAAAGCTGTTCTTGTGCCTTTCTGGGAAATAATTAAGCCCGCCGCCTGAGGCAAGATCAGAGCTGGGGGTAGGGGTGGGCAGAGGTGGCTCCAGGGGCAGGGCACGCCCGGGAGCCCTTTCTGGGTCTGGTACTGACAGGGTGTGTGGAGTTTCAGCCACGTGCCATTTTCCCAGAAGCCAAAAGGCTCCTAAGGGTGAAAGGATATCATGTGCGTCTAAACCCCACATCCTATCACCACTACATACAAAAGAATTAAGAGCCACTCTAGATACTGTAACGTCAGTGTTAATTTAGAGCCTAGGAACTGGGATCACACAAAGCTACCGGACAAAGGTATTCTGAACAATGGTGGACTATTATAGCTGGAGCTCTCCAGGCAAGACTCGGCACACACCCCCTCTGGATGCCAGCCAGGGCTGGGCTTTTAATGCAGAACTTTCAGAGGATGAGAGCAAACGCTCTCCCCTGGCTCCTTGCTGCAGGCCAGGCTCACTCCCCGCTCAGGCAGCCTAGAAGCAACTCCATTCTGCTTGGTCCATCAGAATTACGGAAGGAGGGATACAAGGGTTGTTTCCCAGCCAGGTGCCTGACAGGGGTCGGCCGGAAGGGAAGGCCTTCCCCGTGGATGGGCTCCTCCAGCTGCCCCGAGGCAGCCACGCACCGGCAGCGTTTCTCCCCTTTAGGAGTCGCTGAGCTGATGGGATGCTGATGCAGGACAGGAAAGGAAGAGAACATGAGAGTTTCCTTCCTTAGCGTCAAGGGCACGCGAGGGGCAGAGGTAAGTAAAAATGGAGGGATGGATTCTTCAATTGACCTCCTCAAATCTGAGGGAAACACAGCAAGCCAGGGACTGGGGGCTCAGAGGTCAGCCAGGTAGAAGCTTCTAGAAGTCAGCTCTTACTCCGTCTTGAGACCACCTGAGGAATTCAAGGCCCTGGCGAGTATGCGGCAGAATCAGAACTGGAACCAAAACCGGAGCCGGAGCCCTGCAATCCCCCCCACCCCCTGCCTCCGCCCCCTGAGATGCCACTGTTCCCAGCCGGCTGAAGAGAGGATGCTCGGGCGGCCTGGTGGGGAACGTCTCAGAGCTCCCACCTCCACGCACAGGGTTCACCCCTCAGTCATCTCCAGAGCTTGGTCCCAGGAAGGCGTCCTGTGGCACAGAAGGACCGGGAGGCCTGGGCGCCCTGCCCTCCCCCTTACACCCCCATGGGGGCCAGGGTCTCTGTGAGCTCAAGGGGCGCCCTCTGCAGCCATCGGGCGGGGACAAAGCCCGGCTCTCACCAACAGGGCAAGGATGAGAAACCTGGCAGAACCAGGAGAGGCCGCTCTTCAGACACAGAGAGGAAAGGGTGGGCACTCTCATGGGCTCTGAATCTGTACGCGGGGGGCTTGGACCAAAGAACTGACCCATCAAAGTGAGCAGCTCCCGGCCAGGACTCCTGGTGACGCTGTCAAGTGCCCGTCTGCTCAGGTCAGCCTGTCTGCCCGGCGCCCAGGCCCTGAGCCCTGCTTCCTCCGGCCACAGGGGGTCCTGCTCAGCTTGGACGGGGCTGCACATCCGGGATGTCACTCTCACCACACACCCTGGATTCTAGACCCTCACTGTGGCCGCACACGACAGACACGGGGCACAACACATCCATCAGGACAAGGATTCACATCACACTGCACCAAGTACACACATCTCACGGCACGACGGACGCACAGACAGACGTGGCTGAGACAGGGCCCAGAGGAGCCAGCGTCCCCCCCACCTCGGTGTCCCCAGGCTCCTCCTCTCTAGCTCCGAGAACAAAGCCTGTGCATCCTGTTCACCTCTTTCCCCAACACCCCCTAAGCCCCACCCGGACACAGGAGTTAAAGGCCAGAAGAAACCAGATTCCAGCTTCCTGGGCAGGCCTGAGGGTGCCGCTTGGGCTCTCTGAGCTGTAACTGAACTTTTTATAGATGAAAATTGTCTAATATGAGATTATTCACAACCAGATTTTAAGAACCCAATGGGCTCGCCTCCCAAGCACAGACAGGTAAAATACAATAAATACAACCAGCCCCCAACGTCTACTGGGCTCTTGGTCGGTGGCCGAGCAGCTGCAGCTGTGGGTTAGAAGCTGAGCAACACCACGGCAGTGAGGGGAACACGGGGGGTGAGATGTCTTCTGCTGGGGGGTCCCGTGGCAGGGCAAGCAGGGCGCGGGGGGGGGGGCCCGTTCACGTGGGCGTCAATGTCACAGCACGGGGGGCACTGCCCGGTGGAAGCCTCGCTCTGTCCGCAGCTACTCAGAAAACGGCGGGAACATGCCCAGGTCAGCAAAGTCTTCAATGTTATAGTTGCCGGTCCCCTGGGTTGGATCTCCTGGCATGGGCAGCATGTCCTGCAGGAGAGAAGAAAAGAAAGGGCAGGGGAGTCGGCTCATCCTCCTGGGCACCGGCACGTCCCAGGAGCCCAGCCTGCCAGCCACCCTCACGGTCATCTCTCTAAGGGGGCGGCCCAGAAACACGCCACCGGCCACCTGAGGGATGCTCTGAGACGGTCCTCAAATGTCTGAGATCCTGGAAAGCTGTTCTCTCCTGGGAGCTGTCATTCCAGCACACAAACACAACTTCAGGACACGACCTTTCTCTATTTAAAACTGAGCCAGGACACAGGGTGGACAAGAGGCCCACTGGTGGGGAGAACCCAGCTTGGTGCCAAGCAAGGTACATACAACCGCTGATCAAAATGCAACAGCACTGCAACATGGGGAGGGGCAAAGGGAGGGCTACGTGTGTGAACAGCTGAGTGGCCTGTCTTCACTGTATATATCTACGGCAAGGCCAAATCCCTGCAAGGTTAGACTTCACCTTTAACAAGTCCTTCAAGTTCTCTGGGCCTCAGACTACCCATCCAGAAAATCCGAGGAGCTGTATTTCCATCCCTTATGGCAAATGTCCCAAAGTGTGTTGTGTCCAATTCTTGGCCCATGAGATACTCTGGGAGGAAAGAATTCTGTGGACAAATGAGTTTGGGAAACAAGGTATACTTTGCCTACCTCCTAAAAATCCTCAGTCCTCATTAGTATAGTAAAGGCTCTGATAAGTCCTGCAGCCAAGAAACCGAATAAGTCTGTTTAATCATGTTTCACAAACTTATTTGACCAAGAATTCTTTTTAGCATCGTGACCATGAAGAACCAGGTTAGGGAATTCTGCCTTACATGGCAGTTGTGAGGCATAAGAATGGGCCGGGGCTGAGCCTTATGGATGGAGGAAGGAGGGGCTAATCATTATAGGACAGGGTACCTCTCTGCATATGTAAAAGGATCCTGCCCCTTTGCGGACCTGGAGTGACATCTGGGTTCTAGACCTTTGTCTCTGAAGATGCTGCTCGACCTGGTGGGAAAGGTGCTTGGGATGAGGGTGGGGTAAAGGGAGCTCTCCCTTGAGAAGGGGGATCTTAGTCTGCGGGTCTCAGAGCCCTACCACCAGCTGCTTCCTCCCCCATCCTCGCTCTGCGGGGCAGGCTCTGGGACATGACAGAAGGCACCTGGGGCTCCCTCATGAAGACCTGGTGGGGTGGATGGAGCATCAGCCGGTTCATGCCCCCAACAGGAGCCTTTCCCCAGTGAGAACTTTTCTGGCTGAGAAGTGGAGCTCCGAACACCCCGAAGGGGCTGCATCCTGCACCACGGGGCTGCCGGCAGTGTCCACTGCTGCTGCACACTTAGGTCAGGGCTGCCCCAGGCGCGAGGGATGGACCAGGAATGGCTCAAAAAACTCAGAGTGGCAAGGCGCCCAGGCAGCCTCATGAGAAGAGCCGAGCCTCCTACTGGACCCCCTCAAGTCAGGGCTACTACCTTCCCCGGGAGGGGCCGGCACTCACAGTCTCTATCGGCAGTCGTGCTGTGGCAGGGAGGCAGAGACCGAGGGGGACAGGAAGCAGAGAGAGGCGCCGGTACCTACGAGAAGGCGGTGCTCGCTGATTTACCTGGAACACTTCAGTCTGACCCGGCTGCTGGTGGGACTGCTGCTCACCGCTCTGCTGTCCGTGGTGCTGGCTTTGCCACTGCGACCAGACTTCCGAGGGCCGCCCTTGGAACTGCCCGCTACCTTGTCCACTCTCAGCTGAAAGATCCGACGCACAGGACACTTCCTTTAAAAGCCATCCCGTGGCTCTGGGAGACCTAAGAACCACTGCAGCCCAGAGGGTCCCACATTTCTGAAAGGCGTGTTCCATCCAGAGCTGGCTGACTGTTCGCTGTGCCCCTCTCTCTCACGTTGGCTGATAGATAAGAAGTTGGCTGTGCACCCGAGAGCTGGATGGGTGAAACAGGAAAGGGGGCTCTCTGGCGAATGGCGCAGGGACCGGCTGGACAGGGTGGCTCTCCCTGTGTGCACCTGCCAGGTGACCAAGGCCGGAAGCCTCAGAACCCTCGGCCCTTTGTGATCACTGTTGGAGGCTTGCTTCCTTGGGGGCTGTCTGTGGCTGACAGCAGCCCTCTCCTTGACATGCACGAGAAGGGAGAGGTGGTACCTGCCACTCTAGATGCCCCTCAGCTCACAGGCTGCTCTTTAAAGGAACCTGGCCCTGACAGAGGAAGAGCCTCACTCAGCAAGCCCTGACCTCCGGCAGCCTCGCTGCCTTTTGGGCAACTTGGCTGAAGCCACATGTGGAGTTCCACAAGGTCCTTCCACGGGGGTCAAGAGCCATGGCCCTTTCTGCCCATCTCTTTAGCTGAGGGTTTCTCAGCACCACTAGTTTGGGAGGAAAGGCATTTGGGTGCAGCTTAGACAAGAAGACAGGTCTCTTTGTGGGAATCAGCAAATTATAATTTGTAAGTGAGAGCAACCTTGCTTCTGTCTACACTTTACAAAAAATACCCAATGGAAAAACAGAAACTAAGAAAAATGAGCAGAATTTTGTCTAAAACATTTAAAGATTCAACCCGAGGGGGTAGTTTATCCTAAGGTGTATAAAAAAAAAACCCACAGGAACTTCTTCTTGTTCTAAACCATTCAATAACGTTTTGGAGGCAGTGGGCTCACTGTCGAGCTCTGGGTGGCGGGACAGGCCCCATCGTGGCTCCACTTGCTCTTTCAAGAGTCCTACCGATCGCAGGCGCCCCTACTCACCACCTGATGGGTGAACACTGGGTTAATCTGGGGGATGGCTAGACAGTGTGCAGCGGGAAGAATCAATCCCTCCCTCTCACACACATACATCTCCCCTACTGCCTGAGATATAAACGGCTTTAATAAGACATACACTCCCTTGAATGCTTCACCACTGGTGCCCTTCAAGCTCTGCACGATCACAGTTGGTAAAGGGGTTTAGAAAATCAGGGAAGGATACAATTCCCTATTTCAGCACAAGAGGGATTTAAATCTATCGTGTATGTAGGATTCTGTTGTTAAAAAAAAATGCGTCTGGCTTTGCTGAAATGCCTTTACCTGAGACTCTCTCATGAGACTCCCTGGGCCAGGAGGAGCTCTTTCATAGAATCACGTCCCCTGGCCCAGTTTCGGAATGGGACAATCTAGAACAGGCCTGGTATGGCAAGATTAAATGCACAGCAGCCCCAGCTGGTGCAGTGAGGGAAGCCCCACTGGACAGACACTCGGCCCCCATCCTGGAGGCCCAGGAGGCTAAGCACAAGCTGGGCCACCTGTTGCTCGGAGGGAGGATGGATGGACAGAGCCACCTCTGCTGAAAGCAAGGCTGGGGCACAGCATGAGGACTGTCCTCACATATTCAGAGATGACTGCCTCTCAGGAGTCCTCCGGCTTCCTCCAGGACCTTCCTGCCACAGTGATCCATGCTGGAGTCCTGCCCATCATGAATTAATTCTCTCCACTCTTCTTTCCTACGTGGCCTGAAGTGTGTCTCCCAAATTCATATGTGGAAGGTCCAGCCGTCAGTATCTCAGACTGTGACTGTATTCAGAGAAGGGGCCTTTAAAGAGGCAGTTAAGGGGACTTCCCTGGTGGTCCAGTGGTTAAGAATCCACCTTCCAATGCAGGGAACCTGGCTTCGATCCCTAGTTGGGGAACTAAGATCCCACATGCCACGGGGCAACTAAGCCCACATGCCACAACTAGAGAGCCCGTGTGCCACAGTGCAACTACTGAGCCTGTGCGCCACAGCTAGAGAGAAGCTTGCATGCCGGAACTGAGATCCCGCATGCCGCAACTAAGACTTGACGCAGGAAAATAAATAAATAAATATTTTTAAAAAAGAGACAATTAAGGTGAGATGAGCTCATATGGGTGGACCCTGATCCAATATGACTGGTGCTCTTATAAGAAGAAGAAATCCGGACACAGGCACAGAGGGAAGACCATGTGAAGACCCAGGGAGAAGGTGGCCATCTACAAGACAAAGAGAGAGGCCTCAGAAGAAACCCGCCCTGCTGACACCTTGATCTCAGACTTCCAGCCTCCAGAATGGTGAGAAAGTAAGTTTCCGCTGTTCAAGTCACCCAGCCTGTGGTATTTTGTGATGGCGGCCCTAGCAGACGAGTACAGGCTCCTCAAGCCCCATGTCTACCTCTCCTTCCCTTTGCTGGCCATTCACACAGCGTCTTCTCACCTTTCCCTCCCTCCTCCACGCTCTGCAATCACTCTGCAGCGAAGTCTGTACAGCCGAGCCCAACCCAACAGAAATTCAAATTCAATTCTCATTGTTAAGCTCTCTTGGGTATCGACACTTATGACCACCACCATCTTGGAATTGTTTGGCTGACCTCTCCGACTACACCTGAGTTTGGTTCCACCACCTCCTACGCCACTCCTTGCCAGGTGCTCCCTGGCTCTTACATATGTCTCCGCCCCTGAACATGGGCTGAATGCAGAGGTCTGAGTTAGGCCTTCCCTTTGATCAGCAGACAGGATGGGGGCAACCTCTTCTATCCCCATGAACTAACTGATTCATTGATTCATTGGGCAGGTATTTCCCGAGCTCCCACTCTGACCCAGCCTCCAGGCGAGTATTGTACATGCACTGGGAAACAAGACAGTTCCTATATCCAAGACAGTTCCTAAGAGCTTTACAGCATGGTCGGGGGAGAGGAGTAAGCAGCTATGTCCATCCAGTTGTAAGCTGCTATAAGAAGGTTGAGCAGAGCTGTAATAAAAAACCTCTTAGGAGGGATACCTAACCTAGTTATGGCAAGTAGAAAATGCTTTTCAGAGACTTCACTTGAGAGCAGAAGGGGAAGAGTTAGTAGTTAACCAGGCGTAAGGCTTGGAGGTGGGGTTAAAAAGCATTCCAGACACAAGGATCAGTCTGTACAAGACCTGACAGTGAAGAGGGTCCGTTCCACCCAGGGACCTACAGGAGGTTCCGGATGCCAAAGGGCCCGGAGAAGTGTGACCCAGCTGGAGGGCACACCAGGGGTCAGGTCCCACACCATGAGGGTGATGGATTTTGAGGGCAGCAGAGAACTGATGAAGGCTCTTAAGCTGAGGTGCATCGCACACAGACCTTCACGTTTGGGAAGGTCACCCTGTCAGTGGACGAGGGGACAAGGTGAGGGGGAAGAAGCCCAGGTAGCATGAGGCTGCGGGAGTAATCCTTGCAGGAGGTGACAGTAGCACCAGAGGTGGAGAGAAGCGGATGGATCTGAGGTATTCTGGGGAAGGAGGTGCCAGGACTTGTGCACTGATGTTTGGCTGTGCTGAGGGGCGTGAAGGGAGGACCTGGGAGTGGCAGACTCACATCTCACATCTCTGGTGGTGTTTAGAGCGCAGCTTCTCTCCTAAGCTTCGGGTCCATCTATCCACCTTAGGAGATGTGTCTAAACAGTATGACAGACGCCTTGGACCCCTCACGTCTAAAACAATCGTCCCACCTCCTCGGACAGCCCAGACGGGGACACCACGCCTGTCAACTCTTTGCTCTCACCCACCCTCACGTCCAGTCACTCACTGGGTTCTGCTGCATCCCCAATCCCCTAACACCCCTCCGCCCAGTCTCCTTCACCCCATCCATTCTCACAGCCGCCACCAGTGCTCCGAGCCGGGCCAGCACCCAATCTCCCCCAGACCCACGCGGCTACCGGGGTGGTCTTCCTACAACGGCATCCGCTGCTTAGAAACTAACACAGTCTCCCCTCGCCGCACCCCTCCCCCACCCCATGGGAGTTCCCTGGCGGCCCAGTGGTCAGGACCTGGTGCTTTCACTGCTGTGGCCCCGGGTTCAATCCCTGGTCGGGAAACTAAGATCCCACAAGCCACGTGGCGCGGCCAAAAGAAAAGAAAACAAAAAAACACAGTCCCCCACCGTCCACGTTCCTCAGAGGGGGCACACTCGAGCCTTCGGCATATGGTTCCTGTTTTTCAAACCCCATCTCCCCCTTCTTTGTGCCCCCAGCCCCTCTCACCCTAGTCACATGCCGTTGTAGACTTACCCCCCGCCCCAAACACTGCACACCGCTCCGTCGCTGTGCTGCTGCACCTGTGGTCTCTCTGTCGTGGGCATCCTTCCCCTGCTCTGTGCCTGCAGGAATCTACTCACGCTCAAAGTCCCGACTGAACGTGACCCTGCACGACTGATTCCCTCAGTCATTCTCTCTTCTTCGCTCGTCTGCAGCACTTGCATTGTCTCTCGGGATGGTGCCCATCATGCCACACTGACTCACCCCCAGATGGTGAGTAACTTAAGGCCAGAGATCTTATCTACGTCTGTCTCAGGCCTTACTGAGTATACTGCCTGGAATAAAGGAGGCTTCAATAAGTATCTGCTGAAGGCAAGAATAAAGGAATGGAAAAAGGAAGGGAAAGAGGGGAGAAGAAAGCAGAAACATGAACACTTTTACTTCTATTCCCCTTTGAGGCTTCCTGGACATCGCTGACTTATAATGAAACAAAAACACATTCTCTCATCAGTCTTCCTCGGTGACAGCCAGAGACAGGGTAGGGTGGAGGGGGCATGAAGATTAGAGGAAGATTAGCTCTCCATTTGTATCTGGGGGTGATTCTATTAATTACAGGGACAAGATTTCAGAATAAAAATTCTTAAACTTCTGGGGAGGGAAGTGCTCTTCTTAAATGTGTGCAACAGAAAAAATCAATTAACTGGGTGGCTTTAGAAACAGCATAGGCTAGTTAAGGAGGGAGGGAAAGGA